AAGTTTGCAAAAGCAATCTCGAAAAGCAGCCCATCTCGAAAAGAGGCCCATCTTGGAAAAGACACCCATCTTGGAAAGACACCCATGAAAGGGTTTTACGGTATATGAAACAAAATTTGTTGTTAGCACAAAAGCTAACTGCAATTGCTTCAAGGAGTTTCAGCAAGAACCTGACCAGCCAGATATTTCTCATTTTCTTTAAATAACTGGTTTAACGATTACATGACTGTGGGATATTTCTCTTCAAATGTATCCAATTTTAGGGTCTAATTCTGTGTAATGATTACCATATAACATGACTAATATGTTTTTAAAATTATATTTGAGAAAAAAAAAATTATTTTCAAAATTGATGCAACAGAAGCCCACTTGAAATATGAAACGGATATATTTATACTTTTCGATTGATTGGTAAAGTGCAAGATTCCCTACAGTTTTTGTGTTTATTCAATAGTAAATTAAAAACTAAAATATTAAATATAAGATGAAAACTCTGAAAATGTAATCTGATTAATTTTGAAAGGCAAGTTTACCTCAGGAAGAATGATACTCTGTTTGCAGTTGAATTCCTATGTTTGTTTCATTATTTGTAGTGTACCAGTAGGTCTAGGCAACTGTATTTGTTTTACTCACTTTTTTAGAAATACATTTTGCGAAGGCAGATGTAAAAAGTGTCTCATGACTGATGAAGATGATACAAATTTTGCCCAGGCTCAGTGTTCTTATTTTTTGGCCAAATTCAAGTTCAAAGTGTTCTTATTTTGTTCTTATTTTGACATTTTACCTCGGCCTCAATTTGTTCTTATTTCCTCAGTGTTCTTATAAAATGTGTTCTTATTAAAATAACAAGTGTACCACACATACAATCAGGTATGTAGGCCTATGGCCTGGCTTAACCACACATTGTTTGGATGGTTTACAGTTTAGTAAACTATGTCTATGAACAAAGAAAAACTATAGCTGGTTAATTAAATGTTTTTATTAGCATTAAATCCATCAGGAGAGAAAGAAATTGGGAAAACATTTAGAAAAAGTGCAAAAGCAATTATATTATATGTATTTCTTTGCATCGGAAGGATGATGGGTAGGGAGGAAGTATTATTGCTCAACGGATCACACATTCAGTAACTTAATTATAAAAACTATTTCAATTACCATTTGATAACCCAAGTGTAATTTCTGATTGTTACGTTGCACAGAGCTGATATGAATAACGGGAATTATCACTGCCACTGGAAATGCCTGAATCATTGGGCTGCTAATTTCACACTGATTGAGTCATAGATATACAGTAATAAATAAGAATGTATAATTTTGATTATTAATATACATTGTTGTCACAATCGACACGTTTCTAACAACTCCCTAGTATCCCTACTGCAACAAATATTAATTGTGCGCTACATATTATTTATTTTTTTTGTAATTTGTGTTGAATGAATGATCATAATGAGATCTCCTAGGTCCAGATAGGCTATTTGGTTATCCTTGATGAGGGAGGCTGTTGGTAGAAGGGGAAAATTGAATGTGTGGGCTTCTACTCAGAATTCCTCAAATTCCGTACTTAAGGGTCAGCTATCCTATCTCTATTTACCATCTATTACATACACACAAATTGTCAGGTCTGATACAAGTTATTTTTTACATAATGCAGGTATTGCAGGTTTTAAAGGGCATAAGACCTCAGCTCATTTAAAGCTGAGTAAGAACAGAAGAACGCAGGTGTTAAAAACGAAAATTCAATGGACTAATTCTGTCCTTAATCCGTATTCACGATTTCGCATTCTTAGCCCAGATTCAACTCCAATGGCGGAGACCATTTATCCTTCACTTTTTGATGGGGAACAGTTAACACTAATTCTAGAATAATTTGGCTAAACCCCTGCAAGGACATAAATAAAAGACGATTTCTACTTGTATTTTCCCCTTTTTGTAGTTTAATCTCTATTAAGAATAAACAGCGAGTAGGCCTATAGTGACTATTTTTCAGGTTGGGTAGGTAGCCCAGGACCAAATAGCCAGCCTATGACACTATTATTATTAAATTTCAACTTAAAACCGAAAATCTTTTATAAATAAATGTGTGGTGCCCCTCACTGTGAATGTGTTGGCAATAAATAGGAATTTTTGTTTATAGCCATATAGAGAAATAGAAAGCTCATATATATATATA